TTCTGAAAGTGGCTAAAATGTAACCAAAAACATATTAATAACAAAATGGTTGGAAGTCTTCATAAACTCCAGAATAAATGTTTATTATTCATTAAAACGTTAGCTATTAATGCATATATGTTTTATATAATTTACAAAACTCAAACTATTACTAATGAATTGTAGTTTTACATTTATGATCAAAACTAAATTGTATCTTAGCAATGACTATTTTAATTTCACCGAGAAGTTTGCTGTGCAGTAAAGGAGACATTACCGATATTTTGTGTATATCACGTATACATTATTTGCGAGTCGATCTATCCATGTTCGTCTATCTCAGTTTAAAAAGTTTTATCGAGATAGAAGAAAAAATATCGACTAAATTTTTTCAAGAGCCTTATTATAAATAGTATTTAAGCCTTAAACAAAAAATTAAGACATTTTTTACATTTTCGGAAAAGCGACATATATTTGTTGTTTTATACAAAAGTGACCTCATAACTTAAAGTATATTGTATTTTGTACAACTTAAAAATATTTTCTTTAAACTAGATAGTTTATCGAAAAATCAGTTAGGAAAAACAGTGTACGACCATTAAAATTATTTTTAAAATTGTATTATATTGCTTTCGTTTTGGTTGTGCTTAGTTAATTTCTCAAGAACGGCCCTAACGATTTAATTTTAAATTTATATAATTTCTCAACTTTTAACATATTTATATAACATTATTAAGCAATATAAACTAATCTGTTCAGAGCAAATAACGCTATCTGGACATTTAATTTCGCCGAAAAGTATGCATCACTAATTTAGTTAGTCGCTTAAGTACTTTCAGCCGAATGAGAAGTTGTCAGAAAGTGTTTTACTTAATCGAATATTTATTAATTTATCGTCACAAATTTTGATATCAGAATTTTTTATATATCACTGTGGACGCATTTGAAGTGTGAAAAAATTTGCTGCAATGGTTCGTTCAAAACGATTGATGACCGATCGAAAGGTATCACTTTGACTAAGGGGATTGCATATCAAGATTTTATGAAAGTCAATTGGCTAGGATAAAAGCGGTAAAAGTGTAAAAAAAGTGTAGATACGTATCGTTAAAAAGGTATTTTTAAGAGGTTTTATTGACAATATTTTCTCAAAGTAAACAAAAAAAATTTGTTAGGCCAATTGGATGATACAAAAATCATTTTTTAAGCGAAATCGAAACAAAGGCATTCGACTTAAGAAGTAATAAATTCTTATTGTTTCAAACTCAGTTTATGTAATAATGCCGCTTTTCAATCAGTCCTAGGATATTTCGAACTGCATCAACTAATAGCTCAGTACTCGATGCCAAAATCAACATTATAGAGCAAAAACGAAACTTCCTTTCCCAACACATAAACAGAACAAAATTTGTATACCCTTGCAGAGGGTATTATAATTTTGTTCAAAAGTGTGCAACGCTGTGAAGGAGACATCTCCGACCCTATAAAGTATATATATTCTTAATCAGGATCACCTCCTGAGTTGATATAGCCATGTCCGTCTGTCTGTTTCTTCGCAAACTAGTCTCTCAGTTTTAAAGATATCGAATTGAAACTTTGCACACATTCTTCTTTCATTTGCACGCAGTATATAAGTCGGAACGGCCGGGATCGGCCGACTATATCCTATAGCTGCCATATAACTGATTGATCGGAAATGCCATAACTTTGGTGTTTGTAAAGTTAGGAAGCTGGGATTTTATATTTGGCAAATCAATCCGACCTACCAAATTTCATAAGGATCGGCCGACTATATCCTATAACTGCCATATAACTGAACGATTGGAAATGCCATAACTTTGGTGTTTATACCCGTTACTCGTAGAGTAAAAGGGTATATTGTATTCGTGCAAAAGTATGTAACAGGTAGAAGGAAGCGTTTCCGACCCTATAAAGTATATATATTCTTGTTCAGGATCACTAGCCGAGTCGATCTAGCCATGTCCGTCTGTCCGCCTGTCTGTCCGTCTGTCTGTCCGTATGAACGCTGAGATCTCGGAAACTATAAAAGCCAGAAGATTGGCATTTTGCATGTAGATTTTAGGAGTTCCTACGCAGCGCAAGTTTGTTTCAAAATGGCTAGTGCCTACATTTCTGCCTTTCATGGTCCGTGGTACCAATGGCTTGGGGTAGATGGCGCAATACAATAGCGCCGAAAAACATATAAGAAGGCATATTTATATTAAGTTGTTTAGCTGAGTAACGGGTATCTAATAGTCGAGGCACTCGACTATAGCGTTCTCTCTTGTTTTAAAGTTAGGAAGTTGGGATTTTATTAAGAATGCATCATATGAATAATTTTTGAGAATATATTTTACAGAGTATTCTGCAAGGGTATATCAACTTCGCTTAGCTTTCCTTTCTTGTTTTTTGTGAAAGTGTATATATTTATTGCAAAACTTAACAGGTATACCGCTACCTTTGTGGCAGCTTGAGCAGGTTGTTAATATAGGGGATAAAAAATGTAGATATAATATATTATACGAGATATCTATTTAATTTCTATTTTATTTCTTTTAAGCTTTTAAATATTATTTATATCTTTATGTGAGGTCATGTGGGTGGTATCTTTTTAATCTTCCTTTTTCGGTCTCCATATCAGCCTTTTTGCCAATGAATTAGGGTGAGAACCAAGACGCCTAAAAAATTAATAATCGCCTTTCTTTGGGATTTTAAGATATCTTTCAATGTTCGTTCTCATAAACCAGGGGCGTTACAAATGGATCTAACAATCTTACTTTGTGCAACTCTAATTTTATCAAGGTTAGATTTAGCCGTTATGTCGTAGATTTGAGCGCATATCTCCAAATTGGACTCAGAATGGATTTATATATGCGGACTTTATTTGACAATGAGAGCTTATTTCTCGGCGAAAGTAGCCAGGATATGCTTGCAGCCAAATAGAATAACCTAAATACGCAACAAAACCCTACTTATCTATCTCACCAATCAGAGTTAACAACTGCCAAAAATACGAATACGAATATCGTCTACAAAGTACCAGTCTCTCGATGCACGACAAATAGTGTTTAAGCCTAATCAAAAATAATTTTCTGACTCTTACAAAGGGCAGCCATATTTCATAAAAAAATAACAAAAATAAACAATATCTACAATTTAAACTGAAGGAAAAAATTAAAGCAAATTTAAGACTTACCAATTATAATTAAATATCCGTAGCCAGCTTAAGTCCTCAAGTTATGGCTCCTAAAAACACAGCATGAGCTGATAATTTTACCAATAATAATGAAAAATGCAAACAGCACAGTTACTCAGCCTTAGAATTCACGAACCAGACTCCGCAAAACCATTTAATTTCCCTTGGAATCCACCGACCTCTGATATTTATTTGGATTTTATATAGCATTAAGACATTGTTTTTATTTGTTCTCCCAATAAAAAAAAAGTGATGACAGCCTACAGGATGTACTGAAGAGTTTATTTATTTACTATAAATTCAGCTTGAGTAAACGCACTAACTGGGCTTAATTGGGATTAACCTTTTGCATAGTTTATGGTGTTTTTATTGTGACCGGTGAACACATTTGCTTTTGTAAAAAAAGAAGCGATCTTTGATATATTTTCATATTACAGATGTTAAAGTAGGGTATAGTGTAATTATTATAGTGGATTCAAGACCTACTGAAAGCTATTATTGGGGGTCAAGATCATCCTGCGGACCATAAAACACTATTCAGAGCTCGTTGAGGCAGTAGCCTTTTTGATACAGTTTCCTGAATGCTTCCAAGCTGCCCTGATCCTGCTCCCCCTCGTGCTCCTCGAATCGTTGCTTTTTAACTTCAGCTTCAGAGTTGAAAACAATTAAAAGAAAAACTTTAAAAACGGCGCCAAAATATAATGACCGCTTTGGAGAAGTCGCAAAATATCCCATAAAGTGCTAAAGTGGCCAGAAAGCCAGAGTGTTATGTGCATTTTCCTCGTGAGAAAAGTGTTTTCGAGGGCGCCGAAGGCAGGGGGCAGGTTAAGCCAATCAGTTTTCCTAGGAAAGTAATCGAATACGTCAGTAGCTCATGTTACCCGTGCGGGAAATACAGTGCTGCCAGACCGTCAAACCGAACTTTCACGGATTTTCCCCAATTGCTCATGTTTCCGATCTCGCACCTTGTTGTTAGACCCCTCAAAAATTGTGGCCCGATTCGCCGGATACGACTCCCAGCGTTACCAGTCTCTTGACTCATATATTTTTACTTATACTATACTTATAATACTAAATTACTTATATACCACCTATTATTCTGACAGTTAGTTACATTTTGCGACCTCTACCGTTTAATTACAGAACTTTTGACTCCTATGTAAAAAGTAATTCGACTTCTTGCATATGTTTTTAGCGCCATTGTGCGGCTCGCAGCGGTACGTCCGTTGACGTGCACAATGTTTTTCAACTAACTGGCAGCCTTCGAAAAATACTTAAACACAAATGGCGTGTTTGAAAAAAAAGGGTTCTTATTGGATTTTTTTTTTTGGTTAAAAATATATATCATTGATCTGTGCTTAATTAGTTAATTTTTTATTCTGACAGTTTTTTATTGTCCCTTTAAAGACTTATATACTGCGTGCAAAGGAAAGAAGGGTGTGTGCAAAGTTTGAATTCGATATCTTTAAAACTGAGAGACTAGTTCGCGTAGAAACAGACAGACGGACAGACGGACAGACAGACGGACAGACGGACAGACGGACAGACGGACATGGCTATATCAACTGAGGAGGTGATCCTGATCAAGAATATATATACTTTATAGGGTCGGAGATGTCTCCTTCACTGCGTTGCACACTTTTGACCAAAATTATAATACCCTCTGCAAGGGTATAATAAGTAGGATTATATAATAATAATAAAAATATGAGTATTTGTTAAAATGATCAAATTCTGATCAAATTGTAAATAACTAAACATTTATGGAAAGTTACCACACGGACAAATGTCGAAATAATATTTCATTGAATGTTTTTTCGACCGACATTTGGCACGAAGGTTTGCTCCATTCTTTTGAAATAAGCGAGAATATAAAAATGTTTTGTTCACGGCGTCGAAGCTCCTGCGAGGGTCCTTTGTGCCACTCCACCCCGAGATCCGATAAATACAGACCCCAACTGGAACCCACACCTTCTTCCGCCGCTAATCTTCCCGTGAGCGTCTACGGGTGGTATCGAGTGCTGGTGTTCAGCAGCGATCGCCGGCAGTCGATCAACCGCGTGTTGAGGCGTCTCCGGAGGATCCTGTGGCCGCTGAAGCTAGCTCCCCGCTATAAGCACTCCGGCGGGGAACATGATGTGGCCGAGGACTCCGGCGCCCTCTTCACCTTCTACGTCGACAGGTACGACACAGCGAGCGCCTTGTTCCGCCTGCGGAGACTGGATGACCGCGTGAGGCTGAGGGTCAGCGACCGGGTGCCCCAGGTCCGGATTAGTCCGTCTTACAGGAGGCGGCTGCGGCGGGTGCTCCTGGCCAGATACGACCCGAACCAGCGCAGCCTGGACCTCACCCTGTTCCACAACGACGAGGCCTGGCGCGGGGAGTTCTGCGCCCTGGCTCAGCCCCACTGCCTGAGCACCGTGATCGGGATTATGGAGCGCGAGATGCCGGAGCTGGTGCGTCTGACCCTGGACCGCAATCACCTGACCCAGCTGTGGTCCTTCACTGGCGTGGAGCGGCGTTTTCCGCGGCTGCAGTGCGTCTCCCTGAGAAACAACGACATCGGGAGCCTTGGCCTATTGCGGGTTTTCCAGTTTCTGGCCCTCGTCGAGCTGAACCTCGAGCGGAATCTGCTGCCAGCTGGCTACGAAAGGGAGGTCCTCAGTACTTGGCCTAGTCTGGAGGTGCTCAATGAAATTCAAGTGACGCCCGACCCGAGAACTCTTTATTTGGCAGAAAGAATGGCGCAGCTCACAGGTGCTAGTCCAGTTTATTGCAGAAAGTTTCTGATGCAGAACAATGGTGACGACCAGGCGGTTAGGAATTTCTTTAGAATGTATCGCCGCGTGTGTAATGTATCCTAATTCAATGCTTGTTAGCTTCGTTTTTTTGTTTTTCGTTAATTTGTGAATTCTATTAAAATTAGCTTTTGTTTCTCGGAGCCAGTTGATTTGTGCAGGCAGTAATTGCGGTACGGGCCAGTTAGACCATTTTTATACTCTTGCAAAGGGTATTATAATTTCAGTCAAAAGTTTGCAACGCAGTGAAGGAGATTCGATCTAGCCATGTCCGTATGTCCGTCGTACGCAAACTAGTCCCTCAGTTTTAAAGCTATCTGCTTGAAAAGTTGTCTTTCTATTGCAGGTAATATATAAGTCGGCGACTAGAACAAAAAGAACAAAAAAAAATTAAAACAACAAAGTTATACTTTTTTTATTTTTTTACTATTGTTTTTATGGGAGCTATATGATAAACTTCCATAAGAACAAAAAGGAAAAAAAATAAACAAAGGATAACTTTGTTGTTTTTAATTTTTTTTGTTCTTTGGGATTTGGTAATTTTGAAATACTATGGAACTACAATTTTAATTAAATAAAAGTCGGTGATTTATATCTTATAGGTCCCATAGGAAAATCAAATATGTAAAAAAAAAATAATAAAAAAAAATTATTACAAATTTATTTATAGTTTTGTCAAAATCGCACAACAATATCATATAGCTGCCATAGAAACGATGGCAAAATGCAGCTTAAAATCGACATAGCTTCATGATTTTTAGTAATATACGATGAAAAGTCTAAATGTGGTCGTTCTGTAATAACTGCTTCCTTTTTTTGTTTTGTTTTAATATATACTATTCCCAAGCCCAACTAAAGCGGAAACTGCCCCTCAAATTACAACCAGAATGAAGCCTTTTTAAAGGACTTAATAAAATATAATATATAAAATACTTCTTGCATTTTTGCCATACATTTCTGAGGGTAACAGCTCACAAAATATTAAGTAAGCCCGTTTGGGGTCTTGGCCTTTTCACACACTTGAGCGTCTGTTTCTTAGGCCACTCCAATTACGTAATTTGCCTGTTAACCCAAATGTAATGTCCTTACTCAAAACCAAGAAAAGTTTCCTTTTTTCGGCGACTTTTTGGCATAGAACTTTTTACTTTTTACTTTTCACTTTGTGTTGAGCGAAAAACTCAAAAGGTGAAACGTTTGCCACTACCGCTGCCACTGCAGTTGTTGTCGTTATTTTGTTTCTCGAGTGCAAAATGAGTTACAAATTATTAAAAGAGACGTGGACACAACGCCTACGCACTGGCAACTGTTTTCCACGCCGACCGCTGGCTAAAAGTGCACTCGGAAAAATTGTCTGACTTGGACTTCACAATTATATAAATACTTTACATCTTCAGTCTTTTTTGAATATTGGGCGGAGAAAACTTTAAAAACTAAGCCTATTTCACAATAATATGCAATAGTAATTTTACAAGTGCCCTGTAAAGAAGTCATGATACCAGAGAAAATAGTAGGAATCATTTTAGTGTTGTTCAGAATATGATAAAATCGATCTTGAAATAAAATGCATTTTTTATTGTGTAAGAGTAGGACCGGGGACGAGAATGGAAAAAGTAATGGAAACAAGAAGTGGTTGCTGCGGTGCGGTGTTGGCCCAAACGGAAGTTGGCGCTGATGGCCGGGCTTTGGCTTCGGCCAACTTCAAGATGCTGCTCCTGGGGCATGGGCCACTCGCTTTTCACTTTCTTGGCACTTTATTTTAATTTCTGAGGCCTTCCAAAGTTTCCTCTCCGTTTTTTCCAACACTTCCATTCTGCCCCTAGTTAGTTGCGGCTAAGTAGAAATTACTTCAACTTGCGGCTTTGCCGCTCTTTTTTTCAGGTCAACCCGGGAGGCAACTCCGGGAGGTAGTCTAATGTTAAATGTTACCTTCTTCAATGTCGATATTTCAAACCATTAGTAATAACTTTTTTAAACGAAATTTCAATTTTCTTGTGTATTTAAATATCATTTTTACAAGAATTACTGCCCGATCTAGTTCTTATCGAGCGACATTAGAATGTGGAATTAAATGATAAGCTGCATTGTTCCCTGCTTATTAAATACCGTAGGCTACCTCCAAATATGTTAGGTAGCTACGAGGCTAGACAGGATGTTCAAGTCTCCAAAACGCCTACTTGAAACATATTAGCATTAAGAATTTTCTTTTCCAAGCCATTTTGTTCCTCGATAAGTCTGGTGGCCTCCTGAGAATCCTTGGTGTTCTGGAGGGGTGCATTCAAGTCTAGAAATGTCTGTATTGCAAATTGCACCTTTTTCATCTGTCGCTCGGTTTCGTTCAGTAGATTCTTAAAATGGGGTGATTAAAAATGATGTACAAATTAGCAACTTATTTCAGTTAAGCCCTAACTAAAATCAAATTATTCGCTTTGTTTCTTTCTAGTAAAGAAATATATCTCAAAATTAACCTGAAAATCCCGCAGCTTTTCCAAGTGCTCTATCTTTTTGTGGGGTGTTTCCGAATTAATTATACTTTTATGCAGTCGCCGGTCTTCACAATTAATCTGCTGCATGTTAAATTTGTAGCACTGTTGAAAGAAGCAATACGAATTTATCAACTTCTTGAGATCTCGTTTTCCAGGGTCTTCCATAGGTGTGAAAAATTTAAAAATAAATAAGGTGAGAATGTGTTGGATGTCAAAGGTTTTGGAGTAAACGTCGTTCAGAAAACGAATTATAGGGCTAAGATTGCTGTTAATGGTAAATGGGATTGTGTGCATGTTTTTCCTAGAAAAGTTGAAAATTTGTCAACTGAAATTGAGATACTAAAACTTTGGCTCATAAAATGCAATTGAGAAACTTCTTACTAACCTCACCTAAATTAACTTTGTTTTAAAGTAAAATAAGTTAAACTTTTATCATGGTAACAAATAGGAATAAATACACAAACAAACAGTATATAAAACGTCCATAGGCAAATAGCGGGGAATACTTCAAATAGTTTACTTTTAATGTTACAAATTATGCAACTAGGAACCTTTTAGAGTGTTACATAACAGACAAATATGAAAACGTGTCTTCCCCGACTGAACAACGAAATAGAACGTTGTTATCTACAAGACCCACAATATAACAATTCTGCAGTCTCACTTTTTGGGGAAAGTATGTGCAATGTATTGATTCTGAGTGTTCTGCTTTCCACCCAAACGATTCTTGAGAGCCACATGAAAACGACAAAATCAGGAAATGACAGAATGCAGAGTGTGGAGTGCATAAATACGATTTATGTATTCAAGTTTTGTGTTTTTCTTTTTCCGTTCCGTTCCTTTTACTTTTTCCCGATCACCCGTCCCGGTTTTTCGGGGACGACAACCAGGGGCGTGGCACGAGCCATAAAGCTAACAAATTGCTGACACAACATATGAATGACAATATATCAGTTGTGGAACAAGCCAGCTGAGTGGCTGCTGCTGAATACCGTTTGATTTAAGGATGGCTCAAATAGAAAACTCGTAAGTGGTGGTATATAGAACTTATCCATTGAATATAACGTAGGTTTTAAATGTCCAAGGCACTCGCCTCTGGAACAATTTGTTTGCGTACTTAGGGGCACTTCTCCATTTATAAGCCACTTAACACTTTATGCTTTTTAGCGGTTTTTATTTCTTCCCTTTCAAGTGCACTTTCAACTGTGATACACGAAAAAATAACCGCAAAGCAGGAAAACTTGAAGCTTAAATAAATACAAACAACAGAATAATGTATGTGAGCGAATTAGGTCAAGCGGAAAAATTCATTTCCGTTTCGGCCAATCCAAAAGGGGTCCCGAAAGAGATAGGAAAAATTATGCAGCTTTTTTATTGAATTTTTTGTCAAGGCCATTCCCACCGATGAGAAGATATATGTATTCCCCATTGCCAAAAAGGTTTTATCAGGCTCAGGAATAACATCTTAGCAAAAACAGCGGGAACTACTCAGCATGTTGTTCAATTAATCAAATCGACACCCGTTCCGTCCACAGATCATGGCCATCTTAATATTTCAGGGTATCGAATGGTATTTGGCATTTGACATCCGTTCATCGTGCCTTTAACATGTCCAATGAATGAGAAATCGCTGGGAGGTATTTGGCCGAATAGGGGGAACACAGCTCTTGTAGGGGCCGAAACCACTGTAGTTTCGATTTGCCACTTTGTTCAATATGCGACGACTGACTTTGTGGCCCACGGAAACAAAAAACAGGAAGTGCGAGTGGCATTGTGGTCGGGAAATTGAGTTGGGTGGTTGAACTCTGTGCGTGTTTCTATGCCGGTGGTTTGGTGAGTTCAAGTCTTGCTGTATTTGACAGGTTAGTTCCCGTTTCCCATCCAACTATCACCTTTGGCGGTTCTATCGGTAAAAGGGAATAAGACATCCTTGTGATCAGCTTAACATGGCATCTTTTCTATTTGCTTGCTTTTACTTTTACTTTTGTTAAGTTTTAAATTTTTTGGTGTAGTATGCAAATAAAAGTCAAGGTTGTGATGTGTCATTTCCAATTGGTTAAAAAATATATTTTATAAAACATCATAGAAGTCAATGTAAATTTGGAATAAAGTTATTTCAAATTTGTCATAAAATAAAATTTATTAAATTTATTCTTCATAAAGTTATATTATACAATGAAAGAGAACTTTATTTTCGATTCAAAATAATTTAAAATTCTAAAAAAATTAGTTGTTTTTGATGTTGAAAGTAAATTGGAATTAAAAAAGAAATTATCATTCGTTTTCGACAAAACTTATTCTACGACTCGCAAATGAAAAGCCTCGTATGCATTAGAGGGTTGCAAAAATATTATAAACAACGCCCCAAAGAACAAAAAAAAGTTGAGAAGAACAATATTAAAGTAAGTTAACCGACCATCTTACCAACTGACCAAATAATAATCAAGAACGATTACTGCGATTTGTCAAGTGTGCTCTTAAATGGCGTAAATGTCAGACACCGAGAAAGTTTAAGGAAACTAAACTTTCCAACAACTTTTATAATTGATTGCAAGCAATGTTATTGGGTTCTTAGAGAAACTGAAAAGTAGAGCGTTTAATATGGAAAATTACCAGCAACTAAAACCACACAAGATGAAAACAAGATTAGGTAGCAATTAAATTTTTTATATTTTCCTAACAGCTTTTGTATGCATGCTCCTTTTCAATTGGAAATCGAGCTACGACTCAATTTGTTCAGCTTTAAGCTGCTTTTTCAAAGGAGAAAAGAAGAATCGACTGAATTTCCATTCGTATTTACACATTTTGAGCATAAAAGCTTCGGGTGGGAAATGTAAACACTGTCATAATCAGCCTACAGACACCTACACTAATGCGTATACGTAATACGCAAGCCCATGTGAGCTTATAACAGGGATTGCGTAGGAAATTGTAGCCTTCTTTGCGGATTCGAAGAATAGGAAATAAATTACATCAAGCGTTTAAAATAGATACGCTGCCGATGGGGAAATAAATGAGATTGGGCACAAATCAAAATGTGTGATAAGAGGGAAATGAGAAGAGGTGGCGTTCGCTTTGAATCTCAACCAACAGTTCAAACTGAAGCTTTCACCAATTTTTTCAAATTGAATTTTTTCTTTTCAAAAAAACCTTTGTGAGAGTGTCCAAAAAATGCAGCTTTGTTATTCCATTGCAGATGATTCTCGCCTGTCTGTCCTCCTAGCAACTGCAAATGAGTGCTATAAGCTTACACCTATGTATGAATGTACGACTGGGAAAACCTTGGAAAAAAGGCAGCAAAGCGTTAAACCGTTAGCACTTGTATTGAGCCGAGCAGCTGCCGGCGACACCTTGCAACAGTTGCCCGAGAAAAAACCATGTCGAGCTCAGTTTGCTAATACCGTCGCTGCGCTGAAAGAAATTTCGAAAATTGGAGTATTGGTGTTATCAGTTTTCGTTAAAGATAACATAAATGTTTTAAAAAATGAATATCTAATTAGGGTTTTTTCAAAATCAAACCAGTGATATTGGTGTCGGACTTTGGAATAGGTTTTAAAATTTACAGAAACTGTTTAAAATTTCTTTGTTTATTCTTTGACAACAAACATTATAATTTTCACTTGAAAAAAAATGAACTTCTGAATGTGAGGCTTATGTTCAGACTTAGCTCTTAAAACAGAAAAAAGTCCTCCTGTTGATTTGTCTCAGTGCACGACTAGGTACGCGTCACCGCTTTGCATACATATGCATTGTGGTTAAGCAATTTGCAGCAAACGAAATGAAAGTGCTAAGCGCATTGGCCGTCAGTTCTCGCCCCACCTTTCCCTTTGCGAGTGTGTGTGCGGCAGGTGCGATATGGGAAAGCTGTCACAGAGCTGGATGTGTGGCTGTGTGCGTGGGCCCCATGTATCTTTTTGTGCAACTCCAGCTCTGCTCCGCGGCCTGCGCTAGATTTCATAATTTTTGCGAGCGTCTGGTGCTGCCGGTGCTGTCTGGTGTCTCCCAGTCACGTGTCATTCGTATCGCGCCATAAACAAACCCGACTTGCCTTCACCAGCCGCCCGCCTCGTTGGCATGGAGCATCGTTTGTTATCCCTACAGGCCCGCTCCCTTCGCCTCGATTCGATTTATTTTTATGGGTCTTTCCTTCTGCACTTTCCACTTCTGCATTGGTACTTGCCGAGCTGGGCTCAACCCTCGCACTTGTTAACTGAAAATACTTTCTCATGCGTGAAATGCATGACAAGCGAAGCAGACACAGACGTTGACGCATTGAAATGAGGGAGGCAAGGAAAACCCCCGAAGGTTATCAACTTCAGGCATTACATAAATTTCTAAAAATTAAAAATTTGAACTGTTTCGTGGGGCTTTATGTTAAATAAATCAATATTTATCTGATCTAAGACCATTTGTATTATTTTAATTTTTACACTTAATAATAATTTTAATGTCGAATGCCGACATGATCGATTATGCGATACATTTGAAAATTTTTTTCAATGTCAGTCATTTAACTTTTAAGACTAAAAACATTTTTTTTAATCGTATAACAATAGTTCATCTAATCCACAAACGCATTTTAAGTCAGCGACTACGCTTTCTTTTAGTTATTCAAACATTTTTATATTTTCTATGGCATCTATATGACATAGTCGTTCGATTGTTATAAAACAAAGCTTGTGATTCTTAAATAAATTGAACTATAGCGAATACATCTATAAGTTTAAGAGAGTGTTCTTTCGGCTTAAAAAGAAACCTTTTCAACATTTGTTACACCGTTGCAGAGTATCGTCTTCAACATACACAACATGTAAAAACAAATTTTGACACGAAAATGTTTCTTTAATCGTCTTAATAAATACACTTTCCTAACATTACGGTTAACACCACCAGCGAAACTTATTAGAGAAGGACAGAAAAAACAATATTTTGCATTACAGCGTATTTTTATACCCTTGCAGAGGGTATTATAATTTTGGTCAAAAGTGTGCAACGCAGTGAAGGAGACATCTCCGACCTTATAAAGTATATATATTCTTGATCAGGATCACCTCCTGAGTTGATATAAGCATGTCCGTCTGTCCGTCTGTCCGTCTGTCTGTCCGTCTGTCTGTTTCTACGCGAACTAGTCTCTCAGTTTTAAAGATATCGAATTGAAACTTTGCACACATCCTTCTTTCCTTTGCACGCAGTATATAAGTCGGAACGGCCGGGATCGGCCGACTATATCCTATAGCTGCCATATAACTGAACGATCGGAAATGCCATAAGTTTGGTGTTTGTAAAGTTAGGAAGTTGAGATTTTCTATGGGTTTTATATTTCGCCAATCAATCCGACCTACCAAATTTCATAAGGATCGGCCGACTATATCCTATAGCTGCCATATAACTGAACGATCGGAAATGCCATAACTTTGGTGTTTGTAAAGCTAGAAAGTTGGAATTTTCTATGGGTTTTATATTTGCCCAATCAATCCGACCTACCAAATTTTATAAGGATCGGCCGACTATATCCTAAAGCTGCCATATAACTGATTGATCGGAAATACCATAACTTTGGTGGTTGTAAGGTTAGGAAGTTTGGATTTTCTATGGATTTAATTTTTGACCAATCAATCCGACATACCAAATTTCATAAGGATCGGCCGACTATATTCTATAGCTGCCATATAACTGAACGAGTGGAAATGCCATAACTTTGGTGTTTATACCCGTTACTCGTAGAGTAAAAGGGTTTATTGTATTCGTGCAAAAGTATGTAACAGCTAGAAGGAAGCGTTTCCGACCCTATAAAGTATATATATTCTTGATCAGGGTCACTAGCCGAGTCGATATAGCCATGTCCGTCTGTCCGTCTGTCTGTCTGTCCGTATGAACGCTGAGATCTCGGAAACTATAAAAGCTAGAAGATTGGCATTTTGCATGCAGATTCTAGGAGTTCCTACGCAGCGCAAGTTTGTTTCAAACTGGTGCCACGCCCCCTTTAACGCCCACAATCGCTTATATACGATTTTAAAAATTTAAATATTTCGGAAAAGTAAAAATGCAGTTTTATTGTGTTTATCAATACCTATCGAAATGTAGAAGAAATTTTCGAAGTTTCTATCTCCATCTTCCTCGCACTCCCTTTACCTGAGTAACGGGTATCTGATAGTCGGGGCACCCGACTATAGCGTTCTCTCTTGTTTTAAAGTTAGGAAGTTGGGATTTTTATGAGTGTTAAGAATGCATATGAATAATTTTGGAGAATATAATTTACAGAATATTCTGCAAGGGTATTTCAACTTCGGCTCCGCACGAAGTTAGCTTTCCTTTCTTGTTAAACCTTTATTAGTAATTTCCTACTACCCTGAATCACCCATAAAACCTCCTCTTCGCTTTGCTCAGAAGTTAGTTTCTTAACTTTAGAGATAGCTAGAAACCACTCTTTTCAGTTGAGTTAATTGGGGATAACGGCGCAAAAGAAATCATTCAATTAAATATGCAATCGAAATACAGCCAACAAATAAAAACAAAGAACAATTGCCGGGGCAATATCAATTCGGTAAATATTCAGTGGAAAAACCGCAAACACAATCGAAACTTTCCGGCTGCTGAAATATTTAAATGGTCGAGAAAAAGAGAAAAAAATCTGCATAAAATCAACAGGATAAAGTTGCATCCTCCAGTTATAAACAATAATTAAAAAGATCCCTTGGTCGGCGGTCTTAATATTCCGACTGGGTCGGGCATCCATGGGGTAATCATTCCCCTTTGTCGGGCAATTAAGGCTTGCTTTTATTAAAAGGATATTCTTTCTTCCAAAATTACGTATACTGAAACAAATGTATTGACTCATTCGTCATGTTTGCATTTTCATGGACTACAGGTTTGTAGTAGGCAACCTTACGCCCGATAAACTATCGATTGTTAATGTTAAGCTAACATTAAGTATAACATAATCTTTAAGGAAGCCCAATGTTAATCATTCTTGGTATATGCATTGAATAAAGCGGACGTGTTATAATAAAAAGTGCCCAAAGTATTAAATATACCGGTCCTCTCACAAATTCAGAAGTGGGATAAATCTACGCAATGGACGATATAAACTTCAACAATTTCTCGGTTGTTCAACTAAAAAGATGGCTTTCCGCGTTGGGAATGCCAACTCAAGGTCTTAAGGCCGAATTGATGGCTCGTCTTGGGCGTGTTCCTCCCGAGGAGCGCGGCCAGGCACCACGCGAAGACGCCAACCCAAATTCTGGAGAAGATCGACCCGTTAACGAGGATTCCGAAGAAGATCAACCCGCTAACGAAGATTCCGAAGAAGTTCAAGGCGACGCCTCCGCCCATCAACTTCAGGGCGCCGAGGGCAACGTGAACATCGCACCAGCGGCTTCTCAGAGGGTGTTCTCCCGAGATGCCCTTGAGCAACATGAACTTCTTGCCATCATAAGGCAGCTGCAGGCAGAAGTATGTAAGTGCGCATCGCAATTTGTTGCAACAAGCGCAGACACGTGGCGCCGCACAACAACAAGCAGTTGACAATAGTGGCAACCTCGGAGACTCGAACATTCTACCGCGGTCGCAAATGCATGCATCGTCTGGCAACCCTACCAGTCTGATCGTGCTACCGACCTCAGACGACAATGCATCTGGTGGCGGCATTACAAGCTCAAACGTTTTGCCAGCCCTGCAAGGCATTGCATCGAGTGGCAACAGCAGTGGTTTGGCAGTATTCGGCTCAACGAACAACAACACCGCCGTTTTCAACGCCGACGGAGCTGCCAGCCGAGCTGCATCAGCAACATCGTTATCTTTCGCCAAAGAAGCAGCCATAGACTTTGACGAAAACATGTGTGCTCGCATCTGGGTGGAGCACCTTAAGAACATTGGTCAGGTATATGTGTTGGCCGACGACTGTCTAAGGATGCTATTCATCACCAAGCTGAAGGGAAAGGCACAGCGTTGGTTACATGCCAACCCCACTAGAATGCTGGAACCTTTCGAGAGGCTATGCGAGCAGCTGATTAAGGCCTTCGGGCAAATGTCTTCAAAATCCGAGCAGCGTCGCAAGTTCGAGCAACGGAAATGGCAACAAACCGAGCGTTTTGCCATGTACTTCGAAGACAAGATGATGTTGGCTCAACCCATCAACCTGGAGACAGATGAGCTTTTGGAACAAATCATCGAAGGAGTGCCATCAGCCAATTTAAGGGATCAAGCACGCATTCAACGATTCGCCAACCCGGAGCAGATGCAGCAAGCCTTCGCAAATATCTGCCTCCCGCAGATAATCGAGACCAACGCAGCGAAGAAGACATCTATGGAGGCCTCTGGAAACAACGAATTGCGCTGCAGAAACTGTAACTCCAAGGGCCATTTCGCAAAGGATTGCCGCAAGCCAAAAAGGGCTCCCGGATCTTGTTTCGCATGTGGAGAAATGGGGCACTTCGTAGGGCAATGCCCTAAGAGGAAGAGCGCCAGCGACAACAACAATTATGTAAGATCTATGCAAATTTATTTCGTTTCGTTTTCTAATGTACCAATTATTGCAGAATGTCTCATAGACTCAGGCAGCGCGATTTCATTTATAAAACTTTCCAAAGTCCCATATGGAATACACATTACTAAAGTTAAGACTTCATATTTTGGTATAAATAAGAGCCAACTTAATGTAAAAGGAAAAACTTTGTGTTTTATCATGAAGGAAGGAATAAAAATTTGTTTTGATTTAATAATTGTCGCTGATGAGTCCATGAGCCATGATGCAATTCTGGGAAGGGATTTCATGGATATCTTTGGTTTAAGCATTAATCTAGACACCCTTGACACTATTAAGGATAGTAGTTGTAATATTAACAAAAATAACTCACTGTCTCACACTTGCAACTTGAACCTTTATTGTGGAACGAAGGATCAACGACATAGAATGGCTGATTTATCTGAAGATGTTTGTACGGATTGTCTAGGACATTTAACTGGAAATGAAACTGTTAAGGAGCAACTGTTAGGAAATGAAACTGTTAAGGAGCAACTGTTAGGAAATGAAACTGTTAAGGAGCAAATGTTAGGAAATGAAACTGTTAAAGAGCAACTGTTAGGAAATAAGACTGTTAGGGAACAATTAATGGAAGGAGATACTGTTGAGAAGCAACTCGTAGGAGAAGAGACTGTTAAGAACGAACTATTAGAAAATAAAACTTTTAAGGAGGAACTGTTAGGAATACAAACTGAAAAACTGACAAAGAGCATTTTAGCAGAAACGTTTGATGAGGATATGTTAGGCATCAACATAGTTGATGATCAATTCCCGGATTATAGCATTGGTAATGAAATCGACTACGAAACCAAGTGCAGGTTTGTCAAAATGTTTAAAACGTTATACGGTACTGCAAAAAGACCAGAAATACCTTTTATCAGATGTGAAATGAAAATTAACATAGAAAAATCGAAGCCGTTTAGTTGTTCACCTAGGAGGCTATCATATAGTGAAAAGGATCAGCTTCAGAAAATGTTAGACGAATACCTAGATAAAGGCATTATAAGAAATAGCGACTCGGAATATGCTTCCCCAATCGTGTTGGTAAAGAAGAAAACTGGTGATCTTAGATTGTGCATAGACTATCGCAAGCTTAATAAAGTTCTAATAAAAGACAACTATCCTCTGCCTTTAATAGATGACCTCTTGGATAAGCTAGTCAATAAAAGTGTATTTTCAAAGCTCGATTTGAAAAATGGATATTTCCACGTATTCGTGAGCAATGATTCGATAAAGTATACGTCTTTTGTGACTCCTTTAGGACAGTTTGAATTTTTGAGGATGCCCATGGGAATAAAAAATGCTTCAGCCGTTTTTCAACGCTTCGTAAACAAGATTTTTTCCGATTTGATCAGAGAAAATAAAGTTATTGTATATATGGATGACATAATGGTAGCCAGCACAGATATAGAGGAACATTTAAGTACATTAAAGGAAGTATTTATACGTTTAGTTAATAATAGGTTAGAGCTGCGGCTGGATAAGTGTGAGTTTATGCAGTCAAGCATAAAATATTTAGGATTCTTCATAGCTAAAGAAGGAATTAGAGCAGATGATAGAGGTCTTGACGCTATTGAAAACTTTCCGATCCCAGAAAAATTACACAACGTTCAAAGCTTTTTGGGTTTATGCTCATATTTCAGACGCTTTATAAAAGATTTTTCTATTTTAGCCAAGCCACTTTACGATATGTTAAGAAAAAAAAAGGACTTTACGTTTACAGAGAAAGAGTTTAATTGTTTTTTAAATCTTAAGAAAAAACTAATCGAGTCCCCTGTCTTGGCTATTTATGATCACAAAGACGATGTCGAGTTACATTGCGATGCAAGCTCTTTAGGATTCGGTGCAGTTTTAATGCAAAAGAAAGGGGATGGAAAATTTCATCCCGTATTCTATTTCTCAAAGCGAACAACAGAAACTGAGTCCAAGTACCACAGCTTTGAGCTAGAAACATTGGCTATCATATACGCCCTTCGCAGATTTCGAATTTACCTTCACGGAAGGCATTTTAAGATAATAACCGATTGTAATTCTTTAACCCTTACTTTAAATAGGGTCGACCTAAACCCTAGAATTGCCCGGTGGGCACTCGAACTTCAAAATTTTGATTACGAAGTAGTTCATCGATCGGGAAATAAAATGCAGCACGTAGATGCTCTAAGTAGGTGTCATATATTGACGATTGAGGCCAATAGTTTTGAAGATAATCTGTTAATCTGTCAATCAAAAGATTCAAAAATTTTACAAATTCGAGACCAGCTAGAGAAAAATCAACTTAAAATGTTTGAAATGAGAAACGGGGTCGTGTACAGAAAATGGAACGACGACAGATTGTTATTTTATGTCCCTGAAGAAATGGAGAGTCATATTTTACATAAATATCACAATGAACTTGGACACATTGGTAGAGATAAAATGTTAGACGCTATTTTAAAAACATATTGGTTTGATAAAATGAAAGAGAAGTGCAGTAGTCACATTGAAAATTGCCTAAAATGTGTTGCATTTGCACCAAAAACGGGGAAATCAGAAGGTTTTCTGCATAGTATTCCGAAAGGGGATAAGCCATTCGAGTTGCTGCATATCGATCACTACGGACCAGTGGATAAAGGAAGAGCAAATAAACACATATTTCTGATTGTAGACGGGTTTACTAAGTTCGTAAGACTGTACACAACTAAGACAACAAATACAAAAGAAGTTTTAAAAGCATTAAGCGACTACTTCAGGGCTTATAGCACACCAAAGTCGATTGTATCAGACAGAGGTAGTTGTTTTACCTCTAATGATTTCGAACAATTCTTGTCTCAGAGGAACGTAAAGCACTTGAAAATTGCAACAGGGTCTCCACAAGCCAACGGACAGGTGGAGCGTATAAACAGGAGCATTGGCCCTATGATTGCAAAACTTACAGAACCAGAAAACGGTGCACATTGGGACACAGTAATTGAGCAAGTAGAATATACCCTTAATAACACTATACATAGAAGCATTAAACAGGTCCCGAGCAAGATGCTTTTTGGTGTTCAGCAGAAAGGAGAGATCGTAGATGAGTTTAGAGAAAAATTAGAAGAAATACAAGATACGATTGTTACTGAAAGTTTAGAGGAAATTCGACTAAAAGCAATAGATAATCAAAATCAAGCACAGGCATACAATAAAACTTATTTTGACAAGAAAAAGAAAAAGGCCAAGGACTACGGAAAGGGGGATTACGTCATGGTAAAAAACTTTGATAGCACAGCTGGAGTTGCGAGGAAGTTGATACCCAAGAATAAAGGACCATATGTTATAGCCAAAGTGCTTCGGAACGACAGGTTCTTGTTGCAAGACGTTGAAGGCTTTCAAGTATCGCGAAATCCGTACAAGGGTGTCTGGAGTGCTCAAAATATAAGACCATGGATAGGAAAAAGGAAAACATTGTAAAACATAAGATTACATAACAACTTTGTATTAAGATAAGAGTATTGTAATTAGCTTTAACTTTAGTTTTAAGAATCTCAGGATCAGGGGATCCAAGTCGCAGGACGGCCGAATTGTAGTAGGCAACCTTACGCCCGATAAACTATCGATTGTTAATGTTAAGCTAACATTAAGTATAACATAATCTTTAAGGAAGCCCAATGTTAATCATTCTTGGTATATGCATTGAATAAAGCGGACGTGTTATAATAAAAAGTGCCCAAAGTATTAAATATACCGGTCCTCTCACAGGTTAAACATCAATCACTTGTTTAGAAAACCTAGAAACTCAGTTGAGTTTCAGATGTTTGTTTCACAACTGCACTTTCCGAAGCTCATGTATGCAGTTACCTCGACTATGAGATACTTGGACGCTGGAAAAAGTGGTCTTAGATTTTAAAATAACAGAATATTTTAGACAAAAATAACAAAATCTTCCTTCGAAGAAAATTTAAGACTGACTAAGTTTATATCTGGTTGACTGCCCCTTTTGTTATAAATAAAATAAATATGTTATACTTAATATGGTGCTGATTTTTCATGGATAACATTACGACTTCAAAAGAATACTTTATATCCAGGTCTCGTTACTCCCCCTCACTAGTAAACACATTGTCCATAAATCACAAAATACGAATTAGGGGCCACACTCGTCGAGTCTGTAAGTAGCCACAGGAGAGTCCGGTAAAAGAAATTTGAAATTTTCAAATGCTGGACGAGCAAAGAGAAATGGAAAAGGCGTTGAATATGCAGCAGGATCTGGTCGAGAAGAGCTCAGAAACGGCCCAGAAGCTGGCCCAGAGCCGAGAGGCTGGCTAACAAATGTTCGGCTGGACAATGTCCTGGGCGGGCCAAGAGTTTATCGCTGGACAAGTTTTATGTTAACACTGGCCACAACAAGACCAATGGTAATAGCGATGGCAGGCGAAGAGGCAGCAGCTGCCCGACTCCTTTTTCGGGCACTTTTTGTCTGCTTAGCTCCCAAAAGTGCCACAAATACAGGGCAAAGTGTGGACTCTGCAAGACCCAACTCCCCCGCCTGATAAGTAAATGAATGTTGCATGCTTTGGGGCGCGGGCGCAGTTCGCTGGATTTTCAATCATCAAGTAAAAGAAAGGCAGCCATGAGGGTGTTATTAATGTTGCGTTATCAGCAGGCCATCCCCTCCATGCCGTTAAATTCATCGTCCTTCAATGTACTTTAAGAAAAATCACTGCAATTCAGAAGAACCCGCTAAATCAAAAAAAGAAAACTACGATAATTTTGTTTACAAACTATTTCGATGTCGAGAAAATCTTCCTATAATATTTTATTATAATATAATTATTTAATTATGTCGATTTTAGTGCAACTTATTCTGACATTGGCAGTGCTTTTTGTCAGTGCTTTCACCGCAAAATGCACAGCCGGAGCGGCAAGAACCAACAAGCAACAACCGGCGACCGACAACCAACAACCAACAACCATCACGCAGCAGCTGGAGAAGCTGGAGGAGATTCGGCCATGAGGATGCAGATTCCCGCTGCTGCTCCGTGTTGGCTGCATAAAAACCCAGAAATTAGCATAATTTCAGGCACTCGGGCTGCGATGGCGCAACACTTGCGACCGCAGATAAGGCGCAAAATGAACGCAGCGCGTCTTCTGTGCATGTGTTTGTGGGTGCCAGTGGGTGGCCGTTGGGTGTTGGGGTGTTGGGGTGTTGGGGTGTGCCGTATGTGTGTGTGTGTGCACACATCCACGCCTGGTGGGCGCCCTGTTCATCGCTTGTTATTTCGGGAGCGTTGTGTAAAACTTGCGGCATATGTGGATGCCAAGGCGGTAAGCAACGAACTTCAAACTCTCTTTTGATGGAAAGGTTATTCAGCACAACATTAGTTGAGTTTCCCGGTCTCAATACTGAAAATCAATAAATTTAATTAAGTGTGGCAATATTTAGAAAATCAAAATTTGTCCTTTATATACATGTCTTGTAAATTTTGATCTGAATACAAATACCAAAAGGAATAATTTATTCAACTTATGTCTTATCTTTTTGAGTTGCTCACAAATAGATTAAAGTAGTGAGACAGAAATTGCTCAACAGTGCATTTAAAATTCGCCTTGTTAACCCTCGTTTTGGCACTCTGAGTTCCTAACTGCACCGCACATATTCCATTGTACTTGGCACATAGCGGCATAGGATTTCCATAAATGCACAACAACGGCGAAATGCGTGGCAGAATATCTTGGACAAGAAAAGTAACCTGCGGCAAAGAGAGATCTCCAGCGATGGGGCTACATATGTATGAAGCTGTCGTTGGAAAAGGAGTTCCCCCTCTAGATTGCAAAGTTTCGATTGACAATATGATTTTATTATCGATCGTTGGAGCACCCAAAATCCCACAGCTAGTGCAAGGAGAACACCTCGTTGAAGGCCAGCCTTAAAGCCTCCTTCAGCCACAGCCCGTACAACATGCCGTAAATGAGCTTCAGGTCTACTGCGCTGAGATCTAATTTAAGGAAGAATGATCTGGGGCTGTGGTGCTGACTGTTCCCCAAGCCCAGATACTGCTGGAAGTGCAGCTGGGCTCGACCCCAGTGGCGCCGTTCTGAGAACAACCTCCTCTCCTCGGGATCCCCGTGGTTTTCTGCCCACTCATCAGTCTCGATAGCGAGCCCAGGCCAGTTCCCCATCATCGGCAGATAGGAATCCCGTCGCAGCTGGCGCCCCAGGGTGAAATCAGTCTCGAAAGGGTAACCGAATCCGGACGCGGGACTTCCGAAAGTTCTCCTCAGCCGGCTGTAGAAGGCCAGGCTTCGTTGCAGGCTCATCTTGCGCTGGCTGGTGAGGCGGGGCGGGGGTGTCCGAGGCCGTTGGTCCGGGGCCGTCAACATCCGCTGGTGGGGGGGCGGAGGGCGTGGGCGTAGCACGTGCGGCCCATCGCCGATCAGCGTGGTTTCCGGCACGCAGGAGCGACTTCGCCTGGACCAAATGCTGATTCCTAAACCGCCACCAGTGGTCGCCGACATATCTGATTGGTAGGCGTCTGGTGGGTGGGCCTTGCAACGCTTTCAAAAACAAATAATTTTGGTAGGGACCTGATAGACTGTCCACCAATGGCCAACTGGATTCGGCTGGCACATTTAAAAAAATATTTATCAAGTACAACGGTAAGCGTACTAAGTTCAGATTGCAAATCTGTATAAAAAACAAAATACAAGAATAAAAATTTATAAATAAAGCTACAAATCGAAATTAATGTTATTATTAAGTTTTCATCATTTAATTTATTTACTTAATTTTTTTAAGTTTAAATTTCTTATTTTGTGAACGGAAAAAGTGATTTACTATGGACTTATCAAAATCAAAGTTTAGCTAAAGTTGGATAAAATATATTAAAACAAAAAACAAAACTTAGTTCGGCAGGTCACAGCATCAATCTCGTTTTTATACCCTTGCAGAGGGTATTATAATTTTGGTCAAAAGTGTGCAACGCAGTGAAGGAGACATCTCCGACCCTATAAAGTATATATATTCTTGATCAGGATCACCTCCTGAGTTGATATAGCCATGTCCGTCTGTCCGTCTGTCCGTCCGTCCGTCTGTCCGTCTGTCTGTCCGTCTGTCTGTTTCTACGCGAACTAGTCTCTCAGTTTGAAAGATATCGAATTGAAACTTTGCACACACCCTTATTTCCTTTGCACGCAGTATATAAGTCGGAACGGCCGGGATCGGCCGACTATATCCTATAGCTGCCATATAACTGATTGATCGGAAATGCCATAACTCTGCTGTTTGTTAAGTTAGGAAGTTGGGACTCTCTATGGGTATTATATTTGGCCAATCAATCCGACGTACCAAATTTCATAAGGAACGGCCGACTATATCCTATAGCTGTCATATAACTGATTGATCGGAAATGCCATAACTTTGGTGTTTGTAAAGTTAGGAAGTTGGGATTTTCTATGGGTTTTATATTTGGCCAATTAATCCGACCTACCAAATTTCATAAGGATCGGCCGACTATATTCTATAGCTGCCATATACATAACTGAACGATTGGAAATGCCATAACTTTGGTGTTTTTAAAGTTAGGAAGTTGGGATTTTTTATGAGTATGAAGAATGCATCATATGAATAATTTTGGAGAATATAATTTGCAGAATATTCTGCAAGGGTATTTCAACTTCGGCTCCGCCCGAAGTTAGCTTTCCTTTCTTGTTTCAACTTTTTTTGAAACAGGAACACACCTTAACTAACAAGAAACGAAGCAAACTTTGTCAAGCCAAAGTTTATATACCCTTGCAGTTATTACAAAACGATTTCTATACCTATATTACTTAAAACAACGAGGCTGTGCGATTATGCGGTGTATTTTGCCATCGTTTCCATAACAGCCATATGTTATTGTTGTCCGATTTTGACAAAACAAAAAGCGTAATTCTGTTATAGTAAATAAATACTATATATCAAAGGAATAGTTTGTAAACAAAAAACGGTATTTCCATGGTATTTACATATTACCAAATCCAAAAATACCAAAATTAAAAACAACAAAGTTACCCCTTTTTAAAATTTCTTTCCAATTGTTCCTATGGGAGCTATATAATATATTCGCCTGATCGGGCTCGTTCCGACTTATAAAACTGAGGGACTAGTTTGCGTAGACACGGACGGATGGACGGACAGACGGACACGGCTAGATCGACTCTACTGGTGGTGTTGATCAAGAATGTATATACTTTATAGGGTCGAAAATGTCTCCAGTGAAGTGACTGAAATTATAATACCCTCTGCCGGAATAAAAAAAGGATATGAGTTGTGTACATTTTTAAATGTTTAAATAGAAATAAAATACTAGTTTTGGATAAGAACTCATGCTTACCATGTTGTAGGTCTAAAATCAGTAATCAATAATTGGTGGTTAAAATTACCTTTAACTTTTTTTCCTTTGGCTCGTTTTTTGGCTCTTTATTTTTCCGAAAATGTGTATGCACCAAAAAAAAAGAGCGAAACTCACGAAAATATCTTCAAAGGCAACAAACGAGAGATTTACATGACTCGCCTGGCGATGCAAGGGTATAAAAAATGTATGTAGCAGTCATACCAACAGATACATACGAGTACATCTCTATTAATAAAAACGAAAAAACACTTTTGAAACAGCAAGGACGCCGACCTTGATTACGTTTCTGAGGCTATTGAGCCTGAATTCCCCGGACACTGCAATTACCGCCTGCGGCATATGCGAGTTCTAGGATTACTTGTTCATATTGAAATACATATAGCACTGATTAAGCGTTTGAATGTCATTCCGGCAAGCAGCTCTTATTCGACCCCTTCGGATCTTGATGCCGGGGCTTTTGCTACTCGAATTGCAGGATGAACAATCCGTTTGCATGCCACCCGGATGCCACCATATGCCTGCCACACACGAGAATTCCCCACACTGCGTCATCGGGCCGAGCCACTGCCTCGCACTCTCGCACACAAAGTCGCTTCCTTCATAATTCAGCGTGGAAAGTGGAAAAGTCGACTGGCAAAATAAATGATGAAAATCAGTTCCCCAGACATTCCACTGGCATTCTATTGCTTGCACACAATAAACAATTTGCCTGCTGATTTCCAGCATGAATTGAGATGTCAGCAGTCTGCACTCGAGCTGAGCAACCATTAATAATTGACTTGGCCCAGCCACACGGGGCGTATGGATTACATTGCTTGCGAAATCCCTTTGATTGGCCACGGCCACGCCCCTTTTGGCACCATTTATTTTAGTGCACTTGACACTAATTAAAATCCCCTGGTTGGCTAATTTAAATGCTTCGAAGCCAGGGCTACTTTTATTTTCCAGCTGCAGCGCCTCAATTACCTGAGTATGTAGGCATAAATTAACTGCTCCTTTTATCCCCTAGTGATAGAACTCTGGCTAATGTGAATGTGTGTTGCCAGCCACGTGCTTCAGTGTAAAGCCGGTCCATTCTCGCTGAGACTGTTTTCATTGGACAAATACCTTTTTCTGAGTTCGTTTGGCATTTGCTGTCAGCTCGGGAAGCGGATGAAAACACAAGAGGAAATCAAGTAGAACCGATAATCAAGTTGTAGAGTATTTCTTTCATCACAATATTTGATACAAATTTTGTTTTCTTTAACTCTTTAAGAGGTGTTTTTGTTTAATATTAGAAGTTTTCGTTTTAAACTTTAATCATTTGCTAGTATTAGGCTAAAAATTTGGACTACTGCATTCTTTTGATGTCATAGAAGCAAATATAATAGCATTAAAGTTGGGATATTTCAACAACTGCATCCGTTGGCTCTTGCCAAAGCTAACTTACTTGACTATTTATTTGCCAAATGATTGTTTTTATACCCTTGCAGAGGGTATTATAATTTTGGTCAAAAGTGTGCAACGCAGTGAAGGAGACATCTCCGACCCTATAAAGTATATATATTCTTGATCGGGATCACCTCCTGAGTTGATATAGCCATGTCCGTCTGTCCGTCTGTCTGTCTGTTTCTCCGCGAACTAGTCTCTCAGTTTTAAAAATATATAGAAGTGAAACTTTGCACACACCCTTCTTTCCTTTGCACGCAGTATATAAGTCGGAACGGCCGGGATCGGCCGACTATATCCTATAGCTGCCATATAACTGATTGATCGGAAATGCCATAACTCTGCTGTTTGGGACTCTCTATGGGTATTATATTTGACCAATCAATCCGACATACCAAATTTCATAAGGATCGGACGACTATATCCTATAGCTGCTATATAACTGATTGATCGGAAATGCCATAACTTTGGTGTTTGTAAGGTTAGGAAGTTGGGATTTTCTATGGGTTTTATTTTTGCCCAATCAATCATAAGGATCGGCCGACTATATTCTATAGCTGCCATATACATAACTGAACGATTGGAAATGCCATAACTTTGGTGTTTTTAAAGTTAGGAAGTTGGGATTTTTTATGAGTATGAAGAATGCATCATATGAATAATTTTGGAGAATATAATTTGCAGAATATTCTGCAAGGGTATTTCAACTTCGGCTCCGCCCGAAGTTAGCTTTCCTTTCTTGTTATTTGTCTACCCTTGCAGGGAGCATTATAATTTCAGTCAAAAGATTGCAACGCAGTGAAAGAGACGTTTCCGACTCTATAAAAAATATAAGTTCTCGAAATTTGGTAGGTCGGATTGATTGGCCAAAAATAAAACCCTTAGAAAATTCCAACTTCCCAACTTTAAAAACACCAAAGTTATGGCATTTCCGTCCGTTCAGTTAAATTGCAGCTATATGATATAGTCGGCCGATCCCGGCCGTTCCGACTTATATTCTGCGTGCAAAGGATTGAAGGATGTGTCCAAAGTCTTAATTCGATATCTTTAAAACTAGTTCGCGTAGAAACAGACAGACGGACATGCTTATCAACTAAGGACGCGATCCTGATCAAGAATATATTTACTTTATAGGGTCGGAGATGTCTCCGTCACTGCGTTGCACACTTTTGACCAAAATTATAATACCCTCTGCAAGGGGATAAAAAACAAGAAAGGAAAGCTAACTTCGGGCGGAGCCGAAGTTGATATACCCTTGCAGAATACTCTGTAAATTATATTCTCCAAAATTATTCAAATGATGCATTCTTAATACTCATAAAAAATCCCAACTTCCTAACTTTAAAAACACCAAAGTTATGACATTTCCAATCGTTCAGTTATATGGCAGCTATAGGATATAGTCGGCCGATCCTTATGAAATTTGGTAGGTCGGATTGGCTGGCCAAATATAACACCCATAGAAAATGCCAACTTCCTAACTTTACAAACACCAAAGTTATGGCATTTCCGATCAATCAGTTATATGGCAGCTATAGGATTTAGTCGGCCGATCCTTATGAAATTCGGCATGTCGGATTGATTAGCCAAATATAAAACCCATAGAAAATCCCAACATTCTAACTTTACAAACACCAAAGTTATGGCATTTCCGATCAATCAGTTATATGGCAGCTATAGGATATAGTCGGCCGATCCTTATGAAATTCGGCATGTCGGATTGATTAGCCAAATACAAAACCCATAGAAAATCCCAACTTCCTAACTTTACAAACACCAAAGTTATGGCATTTCCGATCGTTCAGTTATATGGCAGCTATAGGATATAGTCGGCCGATCCCGGCCGTTCCGACTTATATACTGCGTGCAAAGGAAAGAAAGGTGTGTGCAAAGTTTCAATTCGATATCTTTAAAACTGAGAGACTAGTTCGCGTAGAAACAGACAGACGGACAGACAGACGGACAGACGGACAGACAGACGGACAGACAGACGGACAGACGGACAGACGGACAGACGGACATGGCTATATCAACTCAGGAGGTGATCCTGATCAAGAATATATATACTTTATAGGGTCGGAGATGTCTCCTTCACTGCGTTGCACACTTTTGACCAAAATTATAATACCCTCTGCAAGGGTATAAAAATATGACATTTTTTTTGAGCATGTTAAGGTCAACATGTACTAATATACAGCCGCAGAAATACAAATCTGCTGTAAAGGTTCGATTGGAATATACCGATCGAAATTGGGATCAATTGGTTTAGAAGAAATAGTGGTAAATAGTGTAAAATTGTCCATTTAGAAAATATTTATCAATGCTGTATTTTCCCGCCATATCTAAATAAAAAACAAGAAAGGAAAGCTAACTTCGGGCGGAGCCGAAGTTGATATACCCTTGCAGAATATTTTATAAATTATATTGTCCAAAATTATTCATATGATGTATTCTTAATACTCATAAAATGTCCCAACTTCCTAACTTTAAAAACACCAAAGTTATGTCATTTCCAATCGTTCAGTTATATGGCAGCTATAAGATATAGTCGGCCGATCCTTATGAAATTTGGTAGGTCGGATTGATTAGCCAAAAATAAAACCCATAGAAAATCCCAACTTCCTAACTTTAAAAACACCAAAGTTATGGCTTTTCCGATCAATCAGTTATATGGCGGCTATAGGATATAGTCGTCCGATCCTTATGAAATTTGGTAGGTCGGATTGATTAGCCAAAAATAAAACCCATAGAAAATCCCAACTTCCTAACTTTAAAAACACCAAAGTTATGGCTTTTCCGATCAATCAGTTATATGGCAGCTATATGATATAGTGGCCCGATCCGGCTCGTTCCGACTTATATACTACCTGCAATAGAAATACAACTTTTGGGAAAGTTTCAAGCAGATAGCTTTAAAACTGAGGGACTAGTTTGCGTAGAAACGGACGGACAGACGGACAGACGGACGGACAGACGGACATGGCTAGATCGACTCTCCTGGTGATGCTGATCAAGAATATATATACTTTATAGGGTCGGAAATGTCTCCTTCACTGCGTTGCAAACTTTTGACTGAAATTATAATACCCTCTGCAAGGGTATAAAAACGTACATATATAAACACGCGTTTTTGGTTTTCATTTTTCTTTATGTTTTAGAAAGGTGTAATAACATCCAGGCATTTTTCTGTTTCTTTTTTGAGACTCTTCGTATAACAGGTCAAAAAGGACAGCATCGTTGTAAGCCGTTTCGCTTTTCCATAGGTCCGCAACAAGGTCCACAGGGTCCACAGCATGGTCCACAAGGTCCACAGCAGGGTCCACAAGGTCCGCAACAGGGTCCGCAACAGGGTCCGCAGCAGGATCCACAAGGTCCGCAACATGGTCCACCCGGTGCACAACCCATGATTAAAACGTTAGCCTATTAAATAAAGTCTTATATTCTTGTCAATACGTGATTTTAAATAAATTTACTTATTTCTGCAATGAGTAGACAATTTGGACTAGAGTACAAATTTAGATGTGTTCGAGCTCAAAGAAAAATGAAAACTGATTCGCTTTACGGGAAAACGAGTCTAGGAAAATATAAAATAGGTTCACAGCCATCTATGTTTTATTTATTGAAAAATTTATTTGGACTGTCCACATCAAAAAAATCTTTTTTTTCTTTATGCACATTACCACGTATGTATGCTTTCTGGATATACTCAAGAACAATAGAAAATAATACTTGTTTATACAAAGCACTCTTTATTTCAATATTCGCTATTCAATGTTTATTTTAACGAGAAAGGAAGCAAACTTTGGCAAACCAAAGTTTATATATCCTTGCAGTTGTTAAAAATCTACTACATTTCGATTTCTATGCCTATATTACCAAAAACAATGAAGCTATGTCGATTTTGCGCTGCATTTTGTCATGGCAGCTATATAATATTGTTGTCCGATATTATTTTAATTAAAACCGTTCCTCCATAATATTTAAATATTACCAAATCCCAAGAAACGAAATAATTAAAAACAACAAAGTTATAATTTTTTTGAATTCTTTTTCCGATTGTTCCTATGGGAGCTATATGATATAGTAGCCCGATCCGGCTTATATACTACCTGCAATAGAAAGACAACTTTTGGGAAAGTAGAAACGGACGGTCAGACGGACGGACGGACAGACAGACGGACAGACGGACATGGCTAGATCGACTCTCGACTCTAATATTTTGCGAATAAGAGATATTCATAAATTAAAAGGAGAACAAAAGCTAACTTCGGCAAGCCGGAAAATAATGAATGTTATTAAGTTTGGCAGATATTGAGCGCTATTGAAATTACGCGAATCAACAAATTTACGTCCTATCGGGGTTTTATTTTTGGCCAATCAAATGGCCTACCAAATTTCATAAGGATCGGCCGACTATATCCTTTAGCTGCCATATAACTGAACGATTGAATATGCCATAACTTTGTTGTTTTTAAAGTTAGGAAGGTTGGATTTTGTATGAGTATTAAGAATGCATCTGCTCCGCCCGATGTTAGCTTTCCTTTCTTGTTTAATAATAAATTCTATGAACAAATTGGGTGTTATTTAAATAATACAATATTTCATCGAGCTCGGCCACACTTTTTTAGTCTTATAACAACTGACAGAAATTAACAAATTTTTATAACAAATTTGTTTTTCTTGCATTGATTTTATGCATGAAATGTGTGCACAAATAATTATTAAATTATCAACTTGTGGGCTACAAACGTATATTTTAACTTTTTGGAGCCATTCAAATTTTTATTAACTAAACCATAGGAACCCTATTTCCATAAATTGACAGTTTAATCCGTTTTATTTTTACAAACACACGCAAGTGCTGCATACGGACGGACAGGTCTAAAGATCTTGATCAAGAATATATATATTTAGTAAATATGATCTAGCTGAATTGCGCTGCGTAGAAATAATTGAAATCTGCATGTTAAATCCCAAATATCTAACTCGGACAGACAGACATGGGTATACCGTATCGACTAGTGATCCTGAATATATATATACCTTACAGGGTCGGAAAGCGCTCCTTCCACATTGTTAGCCAACTAAGATAAAGACAAAGCCGAAAGGTAGTTTAATTTGTATTACTGTTGCGCCGTCCTATATTTGTCAATTGCCGGTATCAGCTGTTAGGAAAACCAGTGTGTAATAGATGCATTTTAGGTATTGCAGTAGTTTTCGTTCCAAGTGCGCCGCGCTTAGCACCAACAACCCCCACAGCAAGTGCCAAATGGACCGCAGCAAGATCCACAAGGTCTACAACGTGGTCCACAAGGCCCACAGCAGGGTCCGCAGCAGGGTCCACAAGGGCCACAGCAGGGTCCACAGCAAAATCCGCAGGGGCCGCAGCACGATCCACAAGGTCCACAGCACATGATGAATTCGTACAAATCTAAAAAAAAGTCCAGAACACATGTTAAAAGTTTTCCTTTAAAAAAATATATGTGTTTTTTACTAACTTTAAACCGAACAAACAATAATTTGAGACAAAACAACAAATTTAGATGTCGCCAACACGAGAGCCTAAATCAGAATGAAATAAATGGAAACTAGCACAGGTAAATGGGTTTGACAGGAGAAGAACGATTTTCACAGCCAGCTACTTCTTGTATATAAATATATTTGGACTTATTCACTGCTTTTGTAATGCTTTATCGATTTCATTGGTAATAAAAAAAAACAAGAGAGAACGCTATAGTCGGGTGCCCCGACTATCAGATACCCGTTACTCAGGTAAAGGGAGTGCGAGGGAGATGGAGATAGAAACTTTGATCACGCATAACTTTTTAACGAATGGTCCGATTTGAAAAATTTCTTCTACATTTCGATAGGTATTGATAAACACAATAAAACTGCATTTTTACTTTTCCGAAATATTTAAATTTTTTAAATCGTATATATGCGATTGTGGGCGTTAAAGGGGGCGTGGCACCTTTTTGAAACAAACTTGCGCTGCGTAGGAACTCCTAGAATCTGCATGCAAAATGCCAATCTTCTAGCTTTTATAGTTTCCGAGATCTCAGCGTTCATACGGACAGACAGACAGACGGACAGACGGACAGACAGACGGACAGACGGACAGACGGACATGGCTATATCGACTCGGCTAGTGACCCTGATCAAGAATATATATACTTTATAGGGTCGGAAACGCTTCCTTCTAGCTGTTACATACTTTTGCACGAATACAATATACCCTTTTACTCTACGAGTAACGGGTATAATAATGCTAGTTAAACTTTAAAGATGTTTTTTTTTTGTTTGTATATATGCTTTATATATTGAATCTTATCTATATGAGACTAACAATAAGTATATCAAATCTTAGGAATATAATTTAACTTACAGTCGCGTAGACTGAATTTAGACTAACGGGCCCTAATATTTATTGCTGGGCTGGTAGATCGTTTCGATGCAGACGAGTTCTGTTCGAAACCCGTGTTAGGTTCCTTGCGAAATTATTTGGGTGTTATGGTAGGCCGCTTTCTGCTTTGCTATTTCATCTTTGACCGGTGGTATGCCCAGATCCCTGTGGATGTTCCGAACATACCATGGTGCCCCAGTGATTGTTCGCAGGATTTTTGATTGTGAGCGCTGTATGATGTCAACGTTGCTGTTGCTCGCGTTCCCCCAGAGCTGGGAGCCGTAGGTCCAAATGGGCTTAAGGGTGGAGTTGTAGAGAAGAACTTTAAAGTCCAGACACAGTGGTGATCGAGACTTAATAATCCAGTGTAGGCCGCTAGCTTTAAGTCTGAGATGTACTTTCTTGCATTCAATGAGCCTCCGTCAGGTTAGGCGTCTGTCGAGGTGGACGCCGAGATATGTTACATCGCTGGCTTGGGGAATCTGCATACTATTCAAAGTTAGCGGAGGGCACTAATGTCTATTAAACGTAAACGTTATATGTTTACACTTTTGTTCATTAATTTTGATTCGCCAGTCTGATAGCCACTTCTAAACTACCACTAAATGACCAGCCAGTTGAGCTGTTGCTCTAGTTGGGCATCTCGAGCGGCTCAGGATTGCGGTGTCGTCAGCAAATGTGGTAGTAGTCAGCCTCTCGTTCGTAGGGATGTCTGCTGTGTATAGGACAAACAGGGTAGGGCCCAGTGCGCAACCTTGTGAGACTCCGGCTTTAATGTTATACTCTGTGGTAGAGGTACGACTTAAGTGATTTATGAGTGTTTTCTGGCAGTAATGTTATGATTTTATGCATAAGGCCTTCAAGCCACACTCGGTCGAATGCCTGAGAGACGTCGAGGAATATCGCACTACAATATTCCCGATGTTCGATGGCTGTACGAATTTCTGAAGTTATCCGGTTGAATTGCTCGATGGTTCCGTGGCTTTCACGAAACCCGAATTGATGTGCCGGGATTAAGTTTTGTTCTCTTAAATATGGTGTAATGCGCGTGAGCAGGCATTTTTCCAGTAATTTGGACAGGCACGATACTAAGCTTATTCCCAGGCTTCGGTATCATTATAACCACGGACTTTTCCATTTTTTCGGGTAGTAGCCAAGTTTTGTGATCCCGTTAAATAGCTTGCATATAACATCCACTGCGCAGTTTGGAAGTTCAATTATCATTTTTGGGGCTATTAGGTCGCCCCTTGAAGCCTGAAGAGTTGGGGCGTCGGGGATGTCGTCGCTTGGGGGCAGCTTCGTCGGTGGTTGCGGCTGTTGAACGTAGCCGGGTGGCAAGCTGTGGAATAGATGATGAAGAGCAAACACTCGACGATCGCGGTGCGCAAAGGAACAAAAAAACTCGGTGAACTTTTCGGGTTATAGCGCGGACCGGCCGGGCGATGTATTTCACTAGTGGTACAATGAAAGACTAACTTAAACCTAATTGAACGCTGCGTTTCAAAGCGCAGTGGAGAGATTCCGGGAGCGGGAAGGCGGGAGAGCCTGGAATCGCAAGCGTCCAGTGCGGGAGAGCGGGAGAGCGGGAGAGCCTGGCCAGTGCGGGCGAGTGGGCATTCGCTACGAGGGAAGCGCGGGCAGTTTAAACGAGGGGAGAGCGGCGTAAACATTCCGCCCCCCTTGCAATCGCTAGCGTTGCGAAAGAAAAAACAACAAGCCCACTCCTGTCGCCTAGGCTTGACTGCAGGCGCCGGACAGGATCCACCCGAATGCCGTCTTCTGGGCCACTGGGAGTCCCTCGTCGACCAGATGGAAGCCCGGTCGGATGACCTTGGCGTAGACATCCGCACCCAGGACTACCGAGATGGTTGCCGGCAAGTAGAAACGTTTGTCGGCCAACGGGAGGTCTCCGTATCTGCCGACCACGGTGTCCGAGAGCTCTCGGATGGGGGTGCGGATGCGGACGTTCGGCTCCACTTTCAAGACGACCTCTAGCTTGAAGCCGTTGTCGCACTTTGACCGAATTGTCGCCGTGCAGATGCTCTCGTCGCCGACGGTCGTAGTCGGCAAGCGGAACGCGGATGCCAATGATGCGTCGATGCAGCTCGTCGGTGTACACGGGTCGATGAGGGCGGCCGTGTCGAAGGTCTTCAGCCCGGTCTCCAAAGTGATCATGGCCGTCGGCAGGACATT